GTACCTTCTTGATAATAGTTCTGGTAGTTCTTCAAGTTTCAGCTCCGTATAGTAGAACTGTCTTAATGTTCGTATTGAAGATTATGACTTTGGTCTTGACTTGCATACAGTTGTTTTCAGTTCCATATGTTCTTCCACTGAATCTTATCAATCAATTAGTTAACTGAAATGTGAATATTTCGATGATAATTTCTCTTTTATTACATAACATGGATTCATAGCTCATAAGTTCATTCAATCCTCTCATATTTGAAAATATCCCTTGCTGACTATTATCAAATAGATTTAAATTATTTTTTCTAGTGAACGCTTTCTTTTGTTAGCGAGTTAGTTTTCTATGGAATAGGGTCGTTAACCTCATGCCCATTCCTCCTCTTATAGCCGGATGTGTGACCGAAAGTAGTCCCTAATGGGCTTCATATGGAGTTATTATCAAATACGATGAACCGTAAACTTACAACTTTCTTTTTATCAGAAAGGGTTTGTGGAGATTTTAGAAATTTTACAAATTGAAATCATGAGTCAATTGAAGCTAGATCACCATGGAAAACCTGGAAGCAGTGGACGGCCGTTTTGTCCTAGTATGGGACTCCTCAGAAGTGCGCATCCACAATCCCGCACTCCGCGAGATTCGAACCCAGGACCATACTAGGATGAAACGACCGTCCAGTGCTTCCAGGTTTTCCATAGCTGTCTAGTTTCAATTGACTCATGATTTCAATCTAAGAACTTTCGTTTTATTCAAATATCCCTAACTATTTAACAATAATGTTTATAGGATGAAGTTGAAAGCGTTTCAAATGTAAATGACACACGTTTACTAAATTAAAATCACTAACGATTTATGTTTATAAAAAAAGACTAAATGACCAATTTATTATACAAATCTCCATAAAATCCATTGAATAGATAGATATTCTTGAATAAATATGGCACACACAAAGTCCATTGATCACTCAATCAATCAATCAATCAATCAATCGATCGGTCGATCGTTTGGGTAACTAATCAATATATCGATATTTAATATCATTGATAATCATAATCATTGTATTTAATTATTAAATGAGATAATTTATATTATAAATAGCCAGTATAGAACATGAAATGTAACTATCATTTGTTTATGTTATATTTACATATTATAGATAGGCTAGAATCAATGCATCATGATCATCATGATCTTCATCATAAATTATCATCATTATGTGCATGAAAGCGTAATGATCAACTAATCATCATTATTATTCTACTGATAAGATATTGTCATACAATGATATAACCCTAACACACGAGATCATTATGATAAGAGATCAATCTAAGTAATCCTAATAATCATAATCATAATGATGATGATGATGATGATGATGATGGATATGTTTCTTAAATGGGATTCAATTAGATAATGCAATAATGTTCAATCATTTATGTTACCTTATAACTTACATTATATTAGTTGATCTGTCATGAAATCACGTATTTGAATGGGGCGAATTTAAGAATAAATCGTTACATTATTTTGGTTGTGTTAGATAATTATTATTCAGTAAAGCCTAGAACTCTTTGTGTTTTCAGTTAAATTATTATCAGAAAGGGGTGTGTATGTGTGTGTGACAGTTGTGTATATTATAGTGATTTGTTTAATAGATAAATTCATGAATCAATTAAAACTGGAACACGATGGAAAACTTGAAAGTGATGGACAGACGTTTCGTCCTAGTATGGGACTCCTCATTAGTGTGTATCCACGATCTCACTCCTTGGACTCGAACCCAGGATCTCCGGTCTTGCGTATGAACGTTTACACTCTAAATCACCTAGCTGGCATCTAATAGTGTTGATGACTAACTTCAACCAATCCACCAAAATTGTGCCAGCATCCACCACTGTGTTCAGTCTCGGTTCAGTGGTTCAGAGGTTCAGCACTGAAAGGTCCGAAGGTCCTCGGTTTGAGTCTCGCCAGCAGGATTGTTGATGCGAACTACTGAGAATCGACAATTATTTCATTCAAACCATGACACATGTTAAGTATTGACAAAAGAGCTATTTTTTTCAAAATTAAACTAATTACTTTCAATAGAAAGTATATGATAAAAATGGAAAACAAGATTCGACCTACTGGACTCTAGGTTAATTACCTGTCTATCACAATGCCGTAGGTATATACACTCTTTATCTTCCCTTGAACTGTCAGATTAAGATTACTTTCTACCTTTCTTTCTGTATTATATTCTTATACACAATCTTTATTTAATAGAATACCACCACTGAATTAACAACTTCTATGAATTTGATTTTCATCTTGTTGTGCTAATGAGGTATGGCAACTTGGACCGATACATATATGTGCCTGGTCCTACGTTGTAGCTGACTGACTGATCCACCTAGCACTTCATTAAACAGCCACGAAATTCGATATTTTATTTTCACAGTATGTATTTCCTTATCAGTACTTGTCGCTTGGCTGAATTCTTTACATAAACTTATATGATTAGACATATATATATATTTCATGCCCCCAAATGCCCTGGTACGGCCGAGAGTGGGGAGTGCCAGCTATTCTTCTCCGAATGCTCTCACACGACCACGTGCATATAACCGCTGACAGGAAAATCCTACTCACTGCCTTCTCTCCCCATTACTGTTGTTTACAAAATTGAGAGATCGACAAGGAAATATCCGGTGCTTTAACCGGGTTGGTGGATATAGAGGATCCACCTAGGGGAGTTGGAAAACCCTGATTTCAAACCAATGGTGTACATGGTCTCCAGGATCCTAAGGAAAAAAAGTGTATGAATCTATTTTTGGTCACCGACTACCATGGAACTGCATTTCCTGATGTTACTCCACTGTCTTGTGGATTAGACCTTTAGGTCGAAGGTTTGGGGTGTGACCCCCTAAATATCCACCTGTTTCAGTTTGGGCAATCGGGCAGTATCTCAGCCCTCACATAGATCGAGTTATTTGTGTGTCGCATATCTATACGGTGCCTCCTTGTACCAATGTTTATTACGTAATATCCTGTCAGTTCTCATCATTAATTAAAGTGCTTATCTCTGACTTCGTAATTTTTCACAAGATAACAATTTACAATTTGAGGTTATTTTAAATTGATCATTCTTCAACATAAAATATATTTGCAATCACTTGATTACTATAGACTATCACCGTTATTACCATTATTATTATTGTCACATGACACACGCATTTAGGTAGACCTGATTGACATAGTTTGGTCATTACTGCTTTATTGTTCCGTGTTCCGTGTTTCCATCTTACTTTCTCTAGTTGTAGATAATTATCATTAATTCGATCTGGCACATGAAATGACCTTAATTACTCTCCGTTCATAAATCAACAGGCTGTCCATTTAAAAAGAATTAAAAGTTCCCGGCTGATGCATTGGACTGCTGTAATGTACATGTTACTACCTAAACAATTACTGAACTAGTATACTTAAAACTTGTTTGTTCTGCACGTCTAACGTTACTATTTATATCAAATTGATCATGTCCCTGTAAACTGGCATAAATTCTGTAATTATTATTTTCAGAATATATAAATTATTATTACAAATGTAAAGAACTTGTAGTTAGATCTAGTGGTTTTACATGGGCAATGAATTTTTCAAGATCTATTTTTCTTCTCTTTCTTACTTACGCTTGTTACTCCTCATGGAGGAGCATAGGTCAAACATCAACCTTGTCCTGGACAAGTCTTTCCAGTTGTTATTCATTCTTTTCATATCGGCTTCTATTTCCCGACGTAATGAGTTCTTTTGTCTTCCTCTTTTCCGCTTCCCTTCAGGATTCCAAGTGAGGGCATGCCTCGTGATGCCGTTTGGTGACTTCCGTAATGTACGTCCTATCCACTTCCAAAGTTTTTTCTTAATTCCCTATTCAGCTGGAAGCTGGTTTCTTTTCCAAAATCCAGTAATTTTTACTGCAAACATTCATTCGTTTGAGCGTGAAGATCAATTAATGTTTTGCAATTAAAAATACACTAACATACAGAGACATTATCGGCACAAACTTCACTTCCACCTAAACTTTGTGCTGATGATGTCGTTCAGAAGAACGATGAAGGCTCCACGACCAAACCATTCAGCCCAGAGAACGAAACTCCATCAAAATCATCCACTTCAGCTACACTATCTCAAACGAACTTAATGTTTCTTATGATTCTTCTTTCAACCAGGTGATTTTCACTGATAATTCGTAAATGTTTTAAATCACTGAATTGTATTATTATCTACAATAAGTTACTTACTAACTTATGTCTTTTTGAGTTATGCTCAGAAAATCTAAGTGCCATTAGTCTTGATGGTAATGAGCTCATCAACGAGATGTAGTCTTGTAGGGCCTGTGAAATGTCATTGATCCATAGCTGGCAGTTGGGTAAATGAATATAGAACAGATCATCGACCTCCGTCACGTTCAAGGACAACCAACGCGCACCAGTTAATCGTATGCCATAGAGTGGCCCATACGGTGGTGGTCTCACTATCTTCTCTTTGCTCATTCTTACCAATATATATTTCCGTAATAACGTCTATTGTGTTTGACGGTCTTGAATGCAGATATAATATCTTGATACGTCGAAGGGGTAATCCACGTTACGTGTTCACATCGAGGTGTGAATTCGAAGTTAGATTTTGGTCAAACCAACCTCATCTAACTCAAGTAGGCCTCCAATTATTTGACATAGATCATCTACGTTTGTGATCTACACTCATCGATTTCTCAATTTGACCAATACTCCAAGCAGTGACTTCAATCAGTCAATTTTCATTCAAAACAAGGTCAAATTCAAATATGCAATTTGTTTTCTCATCATATTTCTGATAATTAATTAAAAGTTATTATGATAAATAAAATAACTAACAATTTTACTATTAAATTTAGTATAAAAATAAGAAATTACAAAACTTCACAATATTTTCTTTTGAGAAAACTCAGAATACTACTTAAATAAAAATTAAGTAGAAAGCTAAATAATCACTAAAAATCAGCATCATTTTCCACCGAATCCATCTATGGAAAGTAAGAAATCAAAGTGAAATCATTTGGTGACTGTGTCAATGAAACTAAAAAACAAAATGTAAATTCAGTAAGCAAACAAATTCAAAGAAGGAAGGTTGGATATCATTTATTTGAATTGTAGTCAACAATAGAATAATGTTTATTGCCCCTTATCTGAGTCTAATTAGATAGGACAAATCATCGTTATTGAATGATTACTGTCGAAATATACGTCCTGATTATTCTCGTATATCTTTATCGATTTAACTGACAATGCTGAACAACGGAATTAAATAAGTCAAACATGAGGATGGATGTTTGAATACGTATACTTTGTACACTCATTGATCTGAACAGGCAATCAGAGAATCGGAGTGAATAAAGAGAAGAAGAGAGAGCGAAGAGAAACGAAAGGATGCTCAATGGAGAAAGCGAATGAGCCAACTCGACTTAATCAAGCGTTAATCAATATTTATAGTCAAAAATAAGCTACAAGCATGTGGTGAGTAGGATAAGAAGTTTACACAGATACAATCATATAAGAACAGGCAAGGTTGATAAGTGAATAATTAACAAGGTCAAAATTTAGCTTGTGGAGAATGGATAGATTCGTTTGTTCAGAAGCAAGAATATGTTATATGGGCTTAACATAATGAAAGACACTTTAAATGGATAGGAGTATTCTCCTATTTTGGATTCTTCAGTTAAATAAACCTCTATCTCATCGATATTTTTTTCTGGTTAGCGTTTTTTAGCGAGTTAGTTTTCTACGGGATAGGGTCGCTAACCTCATGCCCAACCCTCTTCCTTTACCCGGGCTTGATACCGGCAGTAGCTCTGGAAGTGCTACAGGCGGAGTTAAGACAGTTCTACTATACGAAGCTGAAACTTGAAGAACTACCAGAACTATTATCAAGAAGGTACAAGTATTTATAAATAGATTTCTACGCAAGATATCATACATCTATTGGCCGGATACCATCAGCAACATTCTACTGTGCGAGACAAAATACCAGAGTCCAACTGAAGAGGAAATTAGGAAAAGACGTTGGAAATGGATAGGAAATAGATTGTGGAAATCATCGAATTGCACCATGAGACAAGCCCTTAGTTGAAAACCTGAAGGAAATGGAAAACTGGAAGGCCAAAGAACACATGACATCGAGAGATAGAAACAGATATGAAAAGGATGAACTGTAACTGGAAAGAGCCGAAGAGGCTTGTTCAGGATAGGGTTGGATGTAGAGTGCTAATGTTTGACCTGTGCTCCTCTACGAGGAGTAACATGTGTAAGTAGTAAGTAATATCTCATTGATAGTATTCATTATTTTTAAAGTTTGATTACTGAAACACATACTTGTTTGGATCTGTGGACGTAAAATGGCAGTAAACATGTACGTATTCGATTTAGATAAATTAGATTTTAGATTTGATCCATTCTCTTCAGTTTATTGATGTAAATTTCCAACACCAATAGTGGTTTATTACAACAAATTTCTCTGTGAAATGATTTCAAGTCGTAATTAATAGTCCATAACTGCGTTACTTATTTTCAATCCAAAGAGTTTTATAGGAGATAAGATAATACAATTGAATTATTTTTTCTGGTCAGCGTTTTTCAGATGAGTTAGTTTTATATGGGATGGGTCGCTAACCTCATGCCAAACCTTCTTCTTTTATCCGGACTTAGGACTGTCAGTATCCTCAGAGGGGCTTCAGGCGGCCTATGTTCCACTGAGAGGAACAGACGTAAACAAGGTAATACAATCAACGTTTGCCACCTGTTGTTTGTAAGATTTTAGAACTAAAATGTATTCATCAGCTTGCTTTATCAAAGGATAGACTGTAAGTAAAGTATCCTACTAACTTCAGTGTTTTTTAAAGTTTTTCAGATCTTTTTAAAACATTCTGTATGTAAATTTGTTTGTAACTCAGCATGCTGCTAAAGTTAAAACCATAAGTCATGGAGTTTTAATTCTAAAACGGATTGATCTTGAGCTCACTGTAAAATTTAAGTATCCTTGAAGATTATATTCCTTATAGTGTCATGGAAGTTCGCATATTCCGAAAGTTCTGACGAGTTATGACTGATGAAGCTCAACCATGTTATGAGAGAATTGGCTGAATTAGGGATATTGAATCCAAGGTTAGTGGTTTAAACCGTAAAACACTAGCAATGGAGCGTGAATATCATGGATTCAGTTGATCAGTATGGTTGCGAGTACTTGCTTCTGATGAGTACCAAGTTATAACGAAACAGGTTGATCACCGCATCTGGTTTTCAATGATTCCCAAGTCCATCATAGTTTGAAACGAAACATCAACTTTATTTTACACTGTCTTGCGTCAACACCTAAACTATGGTAGGAAGTGAAGTAGTCAAACGAGTCAACAAGTCTGATCAGCCCTAATGGGTCGGTATCTGACGAAATCTCTCCACGGATACAGGAAGCCCGTTTGGCTTTTGCCAACTTACGTCACCTATGACGAGGGCAATATACCCGTATATCAAGTAAGGGATGAGTATATTGAGCAACAGTTCGTTCTGTTCTAATGTACGGCTGCGAAACGCCGCCATTAGGAGTAGAACATACTCGTAAGCTACTAGTATTTGACCACAGATACCTTACTAATATTGCTCGCATCTCTGGGATTACCGGGTAAGTAGTAGTCAGGTTAGACGTAGGGTATTAAAGAATGATGGCAAATCAGTTGATGAGGTTGTGAATCTTCATCGACTGAGATGGTTGGGTCACGTGTTGCGTATGCCCGAACACCGATTACCACGACGTTCAACGCTAACCGGTGTTGGAGATGGTTGGAAGAAATTTAGGGGCGGCCAAACCAAAACGTGGCATCAGTGCTTGAAATCACTAACTACTAGTCTGAGCCATGTTGGTAAATGCAAACTACTTGGTCGGAGTCCGCGTGATTATCGTAACCAATGGTTGGAGACTGTGGTTTACACGGCTCAGAATCGATCACAGTGATTTCGGTGTATAGACCCTCTGTGTTCCCTTAAACTATGAGATTGAAATCGCTTCATACCTTTCTTTCTACCAAGTAATTCTTTCTTCCAGTACTGTATCCTTATATGCAATCTTTCTTTTATATATTACTACCATTGAAGTGACTACCTCTATGAATTCGGTGTTCATCTTGTTGTGTCAATGAGGTATGGCAACTTGGATCGATGCATATCTGTGCCTGGCCCTACGTTGTAGCTGACTGACCGATACTAATATATATGTTTAATGAAGGAGATTATTGATTTCAACTCACCTCTTCATCTTTAACAATAATTTGTAAGTTTGATAATTTCAATCTATCAGCTGGGTAAATAATTTGTCCATAATCATGTTTATATGGATTCATTACAGATAATGATGATGTAATACTTAGGTTAATAGGATTTATTCTGTTTCTCATATTCGGTTCGTCAATTTCTTTAGAACTTTCATCAGGAATTTTTATTAATGAAATGGAACATTCCGCATCACGTGAACAATTTCGATTAATCAATGATAAATGCTTAGCAATTGAATTTGAATGAAGTAATTGTTTATCTTCTGTGAAGTAACTACTGGGGGAAAAAAGGGAGAAACAGTGAACAAAACCAACAATTCATTATAAGGGTTAATAAGAAACAAAATCGAGATGTAATCAAAATCATAATAAGCAGAGATGATGATCGGTAACGATGGGAATCAAGACGAGTGTTTCATCCTATTTAGGGCTTACCAGCTGAATATATCATAGTAATCAGATGAATAGGGATATAAAGTGCATGAATGAATATAGTCAAGATCGATGTGTATTTATATGTTAGGAAGTAATAATTAAGAGGTTATGTAAACGTATTGAAATAAACAAGTAATTGGGTAATCGCTCAATATGATAAAATAAGGAAGATGGTGGTTGGAGGTAGTCAACAGGTAACTCTGGACCCGGGTTTCGTGCTACTTAGCACTCATCAGTAAGATGTATCTGTAATCTTGGGGGAGATGAAGCTCGCTGACGGATTCGATCCCGTGTTACTCAGCCTCACAGTCAGAGGTGTTACCATTAGGCTGCGAGTGACCTACTGTAGGATTGAGATGTATTCACGATTGATTGATCACTGAGTGGTGATCAATGTCAGTGCCATCTTATCTGAACATAGTGCACGCAATACTGATTCACCTAAACTAGTGGTCAAATACTAGTAGCTTACGAGTATGTTCTACTCCTAATGGCGGCGTTTCGCAGCCGTACATTAGAACAGAACGAACTGTTGCTCAGTATACTCATCCCTTAATTGATATACGGGTATATTGCCTTCGTCATAGGTGACGTAAGTTGGCAAAAGCCAAACGGGATTTTTGAATCTGTGCTGAGATTTCGTCAGACTTAACTTTAAAACTTCGGGATCAATATCCAATGGTTCCTATTGTTTAACTTCAATCGATTTGAGATGTCTCTCAAACAACTCTCAATATCATTGAATATGAAGAAAGAGAATTCAGTGAAGAAATCCTTCACTTTATAGATGAAATCATTTACTTAAGCCGTACATTCGTATTTATAGTTATTGTGGAAAACATATGAATCAATAGAAGGATACAAATTGATTACATCATAAATTGATTCGAGACTCTAATTATCAAATGAGATTATGTTATAATCAATTGGTAAGTAAATTAGAAACAGTTTACAATTACAAGAAAAGAAACAGTAGTGAGAAATCTTCACATAGAAATCAAACAATTATTCCAATGAGAAGTCAGTTGAAACTTTTCTGATTCCAACTTCTGTCAGTAGTACTAAATATATTAACTAGGATACTTCATATTTATCAAGATCAATAGACCATATACTAAACAAAATTCTCCTGAAAGCACTGAACAGCTGTTTCGTCCAATTGTAGGACTCCTCAGCAGTGCGCGTCCACGATCCCGCCTCGCAAGACTCGAACCCAGAACCTATCAGTCTCGCGCGCGAGCGCTTAACCTTAGATCATTGAATGAGCATCCACTGTTGAGGTGTCCCATTGTATGACGAAACGGCAGTCTAGTGCTCCCAGGTTTACCATGGTGGTCTAACTTCGATTGGCTCATGATCTCAACTATTAAAATTGCTATAATATCCACAAAACCCCTTCTAATATTAATCGTATTTGTTAATGTTATTTGATTTTTGCTTTTAACATTCTTTCATATCCAGCCTCTTTGTTTGTATATAATTTATGTTACTTACTAATAAACAGTAGTTTAGTTTATTGACAATCATTTTTGAGCTTATTGTTTGTAATGTCAATTGGTCATCTTATGTAAAACTTCAAAGTATATGAACGAATCTGTGAAATTTAATAGTTATTTATATGATTGTACGCTCATTTCCACTGGTTCATATCTAGCTTTGATAAGCTGGTTGAATATTTATTTCAACATAGTGTTCTCAATGTCAAGTTACTTAGACTAGTAGCCACATAACAACTTAGTCAATAGGATTCGATCTGCACTTAAGAAAGACTTGATATACATGACATTGATTCGTACACAACGACCAATCAATTGTAGATAATTTCGATGTTTAGTGTGTATAGTTCTTTTTTAAATTTACTGACTGGCATTGTTGTGTTTGACAGAGCTACTGGATATTAATTAATTTATCGCGTATCTTGAAGATCAAAGAAAAGAAAATGAGAACAGAGAATGGTTAATATGAAAACGAAGGAACAATGAAGTTTGAGACGATTGATTGATATTTTGTCAATTAAGAATTCACTGTGTGGTTCTCAGATTTTACAAAGAAGTTCTGTAATTTTGTATTCAAATACATTTGATTATCCCCATTTGTGTTCTCGTTCACTACATTGTAGTGACCAACTTTTATCAAGAGAACGCGATCGGTATAGTGGAATCAATCAGTATTATAACCAATTGTACCAGTGATTTCTTACTGTACTTGTTTGTTTAACTGTACTAAAGACATACATTCTTCCGTTGATTGTGACCTTGCACGCACTTACGTTTGCTCAGTGATTCCGCTTGTACGCCTTTGGCACGATCTCGGTATTCTTTCGATACCACGAGATCGCCAACAAATATATCTCGCTACAACCTCCAATCGCCTTCTGATATCTGGTACGCAACCTTCTTGTAGTGGTGATCATAGTCAACCGTGACTCGACGTCACGCTACATCACTAGCTGTTATAAACTGATACTTGGAAAGAGGGGGTGATAACTGAGTTTTGCAAAATGTAAGAAATAAAAAAAACACTGGTCTGCCATTAAAAAGTTCATTTACCTTCTAAAAACAAAGCAAAAAGCACTTATTATAATCAGAAGTTAAACATTAACATCACCGGATACCGGCCGGCTCAATGGTCTACAAGTTAAGCGTTAGTGTATGAGACTGGCAGATCCTGCGTTTGAATTTAGCGTGTGAAATCATGGATGCGCACTGCTGAGGAATCCTATGCTAGGACGAAATGGTCATCCAATACTTCCAGATTTTCAATTATTAAACAACACTTACTACTTGAATAAATTGATTCACACATAGATAGTTTTTGGAATTAGTGAGAATAAGAAGAAAAGACAATGAATGTATTATCTAATACTGGACAAATACAAATAGATCACATTCAATTGAAATAGAAATTATGTAATTTAAAAGAAAATTAATTTCCTAATAAAAACTTACTTATCTGGTATCATTAAATTGTAACTTGTTAGTAGCTATTGATTAGGAAAGATGAAAGAAAACAAAACAAACAGTTTTGATCAGTTGGGTGAACTGTATGCGATAAGTGATAGATAAGCTTTAAAGTTTGAGATTATTTGTGAAACTTCCTTCCTTCTTTACTTCCTTACGCTTGTTACCCCAGGTCGTGGAGGAACATAGGCCACCCGCGAGCATTATCCATTCAACTCTATCTTAGGTAACCGTTTCCAATTACGATTCATCCTTTTAATGTCTGCTTACAATTCCCGATGTATTGTGTTCTTGAGCTTCCCTCTTTACTGTTTACCTTCAGGATTTCAAGTTATTGCTTATCTGTTGATACAGTTCGGTGATTTCTGTAACGTATGTCTTATTCGATTCCATGATCTTTTCCCAATTTCCTCTTCAACTGGATATTGGTTTGTTCACTCCTACAGTAGGGTGTTGCTCGTGGTATCCGGCCAACGGACATTGAGTTTCTTGAGAAGACAACTGTTTAGAAATACTTGTACCTTTTTGATGATGGTTGTGGTAGTTCTCTGCGTTTCAGCTCCAGATAGTAGAACTGTATTGACTTTCATATTGAATATTATGACTGTGATATTGGCTTGCATACAGTTGTTTTTAGTTCCATATGGTGTTCAAGCCTACGAATACTGTTCTTGCTTTGCCGATTCTTCATCGTCGATGATGCTCATCAGGTTCCTGAAAGTTTCCACACCTTTCGAAGCTTCTCTATCAATTGTGATTCGGTTGATATTGATCTTTGTTTTCCCCTTGTGTATGTTAGAGCTTGTAGTTCTCCTAGGGTTACTGTCGGTTTCAAGCTCGAGTGAAGAAGGAAGGTCAGGCATAAGCTCAGCAACCCCATTCTGTGGAAAATAATCTTTCTAAAAAATCGCTAACCAGAATAAACAAATTAAACCAATTATTTGTGGAACCTATTTAATATAACGCTCAGATTTCTCATTTTACACTAAATGCTTAGGATTAACACTGAACGATTTATCTGCACATACAATGCACTCCCTTTACATCAGACACACTACTAGCACGATTCTACTAGACATCAATACAACTCGTTTCAAGAACATGTAATTCGCTTGACACATCTAATGCCCGTCAGACTATTTACCAGTCTGTTTAAGTAGACCACCAGTCACTTTCTCTCATTCACACAAGGCTTTTTGAATTTGGGTATAGTGAACTGATGCTTCATCGTAGTGTGAAGCTGATTAAAAGTGCACATCACGACGCTTACGGGTGTTGGGTTTGATTTCTGTTTGAGATCAGCAATGTACACTAATGAACAATTCATAACTACAATAAATCAAATATTTACTACATAGGACGAACCGGCCTTCAAGTGCTTCCAGGTTTTCCATGGTGTTTTAACTTCAGTTGACTTATGATCTCAACTGTTGAAATTTACTACTATAGTTGAATTTATGAGTCAATTAAAGATAGATCACTATGGAAAACCTGGAAGCACTGGACGACCATTTCGTCATAGTATGTGACTTCTCAGCAATGAGCATCCATCATTCCATTCGCGGAATTCTATAGAAATTTAAATTCAAGTTTATTCATAGGAGTTTGTTTCTCATAAACTCATATAATTACCCCAATAAATAACTTCAAAAATCTTTTAGACTGTTGAAAATACTTCCATCAACCATTAGATCTTTTGAAATCTCTAAGAGAAATCTGGATACAAACCAATTATTTAGATGGTAGTTGGAGGTAGTTGACAGGAAACCCTGAACCTGGGTTTCGTGCTACTTGGCACTCGTCGGCAAGGTGTACCTGTAATCTTGAGGGAACTGGTGCTCCCTGGCAGATTCGACCTCGTGTCACCCAGCTTCACAGTCAGAGACGTTACCACTGAGCTATCCGAGCTGCCACCAACCTCCTGTCCGGGGTTCAGGGTTTCTGGTCGATTACCTCCAACCACCATCTAAATCTCAATATATAGTGTCCGCAGTGTCGAGTCACCTAGACTGGTGGCCACATTGCAACATGATTGATAGCATTCGATCTGCACTAATAAGGACTAGACAAGCATGACATTGATCACCACCCAGTGATCAATCAATTGTGATTACAAACCAATTATACTTTGTTACCATGAATGAACAACCACTAGTTTTAGAGTCTTTTTCAAGAGTTCCTAGAACCTGTAAGTTACAACAATAATAATAATAATAATAATAATAATAATAATAATAATAATAATAATAATAATAATAATAACCACCATCACAACAACAACATCTTATATCATTGTGCCTTCATTATTGTTGCACTTGTATGAACATATCTGCTTGAGTATTGTTTACCTCCTTCATACATATTCATTCGGTTAGCCTTAGTATTAATCGTTTAAATGATTCAATAAATCATTCATTTTCCTACATACATTTTAATCCTGTTCATTGACTATACTCACTGGTTTACTTGCTCGTCAGCATTCATATATCATTCTTGCTTTGTGTGCCTATGATTTTGATGATCTTTATGTAGTGCGATCATATTCATAATCAACACTTCGTATTTGTCTTCTGATTTAAACACTGTTGGAAGGGGGGGGAATTATCTAGTAACGGTTATCAGGATGAGTAGTATAATAAGTTTAAATGTCAATTCATGTTATTACATTTTAGTTAAAATTAATTGTTTCTTTGAAATTAAAAAAAAAGACACTAACAATCTGAATACTTTAATATTGAACTGAGAATTGGCCAGTTACTCGATTTCAGTTGGACCCTAACACCAGATCCTACAAATCTGCTCAAAGGGGAGGCGTTAGCGTGATACAATACTGGTTTAAAGCATGTTCCATGCACAATTGAGTTGGTGCACGCTGATTGGCTAAGTCATAATCAATCAGATCTAGTCAATACTTGGAGAACACTCGAGAATCTCGTGTAAAAAAAACTGTACTAACGTTTTTCCTATTGTGGTTCTTACTTCCATCTTACCTTGTTATTTGGAATATCATCTCTTTCCTATTCAATTGTGTTCTGATTTAGGGACTTGTCGAGTGAATTGATGTCGAAGAATACTAAGCCATTGGAATAGCCGGGTTGTAACAAGGCAGGATTATAACAGTTTATCAAGAAGTAGCTTAGATCATTAACTTGGCATTATTGTTAAGTTGAATCTTCTCAATAATGTTTAAGACTGCAACTGATCAGTCTCCTATTGGTATATGCACATACTGTATTCTTTTTAATAGAGAATTGTAACCTTCAACATATATATGTATCCTATATTCATACCCTTGTAATTGTATGCTTACTTGATTTCCGTGTACTTGTGTGTACGTCCATCATTCAATATTTCATTCAATGTTTGTCTCTTTTACACTATGCATTATCTAGTTTGAGCTATATTAGCGTTTGATATGAGTAGTATAGGCGTGTTGAGATGTTTACCTTCTCTGCTTGATCTCTCTTTTCCGCTTCCAATTTTTATGTCTGTTTGAGTAAAAGATTACTTGAAGTATATTCATTCCATTCAGTCCGTCTTTTGCCTCTTATTACTGACATTACTTAAATACGATTAGTTTAAGAGTAGCATAAGAAAGTAAACTGAAGGTCTATATTTATGGCATAATCAATCGTTTATCCAAAACAGAGTCATATCAAGGGGTTACTGTAAACTATTTGTAATTGTAAGTAAATAGCTATTGAAATAAAGTTAACTATCATAAATATTAAATGGTTATTAATATGACATCATTACAGATATTAGAATCTATAAAAAACGAATGCAACACTCACTTACATTTTCAAATTGACTATGATGTTTAACTTGAATTTCTCGTATGAATGTTGTTGCAGTGAATTTCATTCTTATAGGAGGTCCCTTAGAAGAATAATTAGAAGAATAGTTGGTGATATTTATTCCGATCAATTGAACTTAGTTAAAAGTTGTGTAATCTTAGATTTGGAATTGAATAATGATTATTTCACTTGTCTGCTTAAACAATGTAGTTCATTCCATTGTACAAATTAACACACTGTACTATTTGATGAAAGTGACGTAATGGGGATGTTTTTGGTTACAGTATGTTTACTCATAAGATAAGAACACAGAACTGTTGGAATTCAGTTTTATTAGGCGAGAATCAATCAACTGATTCTAAGTTCTCTGATGTTTGAATGGTGGCTACAGTGGAATACAGGGTGAGTGTTTCGTTCTATTTTGGACTCGTCAGTTGGGCGTACCCAGTACCATATGATTTGAACGTCATCGCGCCATTCAATTAGCTACTGAGGACAGGTAGCCATTAGTTCGTGCGATGTGGTTAAGTTTAATTCATTTTTTGTATTGGTTGTTTGAATCTCCTCACTAATGTTCAGCACTGCAAACGATTGATCTCTTATTGATATATGTGTATCCTGTGAGGATTGCCTCGATATTGCCTTAAGTCACAAGCATTGTAAGTACCGACGGATGGTGGCTAGTAATGCAATACATCACGAACAGTATTAGATTCGAGTCCCGTAATGAGCATCAACTCTGAGATGGAGGCATATCCAGCTGACGAGTCCCAAGTTGGGTGAAACATGTGTCCTGTAGTCCACTACTAGCCACTACCCATCCCTCCTTATAATGCTTGTGACTTAAGGGAATATCGAGGCAATCCTCATAGGATGTACATACATCAGTAAGAGACTGATCGATTGCAGTCCTTAGCATTCGTGAGAGGACTCAAACAACTAATACAAAAATGAGTAAAATCCTTTGATGTTTGTGTAAAACAACAATTGCTTTATACACTTCCATTAGTTTTATCCTATTACTAATACAATAGTTTTAATTACACTTACTGTTTTGACTTGTCTTTAAGGGCTGGTCTATATTTATCTACTAAAGTGGGCTTTGGATGAATCTAAGAACTTCTCTTTCATATAGTACGTTTAGTACTATTACAGGGTCTAATTAGTGTTGCTATGAAACATGAAATGGTTCGCATTCTTGTGGAGATACGAAAAAACGATTCAACAATGAATTGCGATGCAGTTTACTGAGGCGATCACAGGTTTTGCAAATGTTTATCCTGTGGTAAACGTAACTTACGTAATTTATATGTCCTTCGTCGTGCAAAATGCTTCAAAAGTGGTAAAATAGAACACATTAAATCGATCTGTTAAGCTACAGTTTGTTTTGTCGCTAGTGATGATAAACCCTGTAGTTTGGGTTTTACTAAGTTGGGTGTTTCTAATGATCATTTATCTTCATCCACGATTCCGAGGGGTAATTTACGTATTGAGAAGTGGTTATATACACCCCTTGGTTTATGCCATGACATTTTGTTGACACAGGTAGTATATAGTCGACTATTTTTTTCAAGAACTTGAAATCTTTAGATTATAACGTTGTAGTGCTACCCACTGAAGTCTCATTACTGGGGATTATTGGACACAATCTTCCCATACGAAGGTGTTGTAAATTGCTAATAGGAGACAATAATTCTTCATATATGCCTTGTGAGTTTTTAGTTAGTGAAACAAGACCGTCAATACTAGGTTTGGACAATTTGGAAAGTTTTTAAATGAAGCTGTGTTTATTAGTATCTAAAAAATTTTGATGCTTTACTTAAAGATTTGATAGCTGCGTGTGTTAAGTGCAGAGGAGGGATGAAAATTCAGCCTACATAACTTCAAGTACAGGGTGGTTCAGTCTTTCTTAAAATATGAATAATTCCTTATGGTCCTCGAGAAGTAGTACATATGGCCATGAGCGATTTGTATGCAAAAAGTGTGATTAAACAGATCCCGTCTCCAGCATGGGGCACTCCTATTGTTACGCCCTTGAAGTCTGATGGCAAGATGCGTAGGATATGTGGTGATTATAAATTGGCACTGAACTCCTGTTCTTTGAAGCAAACGTGCACGATGTGGGAAGCTGAAGATATTTTAAATCGATCTCATGGTTCTAAGTTATTCTCGAACGTTAACTTAAATGGTGCTTATCTTCAAACTCCATTAGATCAATCTTCATCGATTTTTACAATAATTAATACTCCTTTTGGCCTATTCAAATACATCCTCCTCCCATTTGATTCAATTTTTTCTTCAAACATATTTCAGGAAGTGATAAATAATGTATTCAGTGATCTTAATGCATACCCAGTGCTGTAAGAAAATGATGCAATGCTAATCTGAAATGTAGATTTCTTGTCTATTTTTCAGAGCGGGATAATTTATCCAATGCCCCCTGATAATATTTTGTGCTTAAATGATCGTTACGCAAATCTGTCCTTGAAGATATTAATACTAGACATTCGTGTGTTGAGTAAATAAAATCCTTCGCAAGGCTCACATGTTAGTGGACGGAGATAAATGCAGATATATGTCATACAACAAACAGTTATAAAGGATTTAGGTATCATTACCAAGATTTGACTTGATAATTTCGAATAAATTGAGCATTGGGTAGATTGTTATAAATAAATATATTATTTAATTATAAAGGATGTTATAAGTCAAAAAATCACCCTTTGAAGTGAACTTTATGACCAGTATCGTCTGAGGCATGGCAGAGAATTCATGCGGACTAGTATGATCCATTTCTCGACAGACACTATGCACTTGTTGTCATTCATTCTTTTCCTGATTGACCCAAGTTTTATTTCTCAAATTAATCGAATTCTGACCTCACGATCCAAGTATTAAGAAACGTTTTCAGTCAAGAGAGGGTCTTTATGGATTAGTGACTGATAATGGATCTCGTTTTGCTGCAGACACAGTCAGTACCTAGCTGAAGTGTATAAGTTACAGACATCCGTCCACTGCTCCTGGGTACTCCTGTTCTAATGGTTGGGCAGAAAGTTTCGTCAGGGCACTAAAAACTGCTGATAATTCGTTTGTTGCCTCAATATTTGATGAGCTGGAGAGGAAATCGGACAAATTTTCATTGCAATTTAGAGATGATAAACACTCTATAACAAAAAAGACTACACCAAAGCCATTAAAAGCAAGGATTTTCCGTTCGAATATGGGGTGTTGAGAGTCTGCAGATGTTACATATTATTGTGTAAATGATCTTCGATCAACCAGGAGGATCGAGGAGGAGAACGTTGGAAAATCTATAGTTTGAGTTCTAAATATCAACGCTTTAAGTACACACAACCGACATGTTGATCAAACACAATTCCAGGAACCAGGTGAGTTTGTTCCAATTTCGGTTGTTGGTTCCAATGCTAGTGAGTACATTCCAGTTCACAAAATCTATATCAAATACACAGACGGACAGACACACGGCGAATATACGTTAATTTATGCTCATCTAGTTTTACTTGCGTTTAATTGCATTATTTCTGAAATTCTTAGTTAGCACACTAATTCTAAAACTTCTGATTATCGTGCGACAGTAATGGTAAGCATTGTATATCTACTTCATTAGTTGGGAGTCTTTGAAAAAATATATTTAGTTGGCCACAAAATCGTACGATTTTGTTTGTATAAATAACTGTAATGCTAAGAAAGTTCCAGTTTATGAAGTTCTTATAGACTGTCTATATTCTTATTTTGGTTGGATATCAGCTTTTGTAATTATCAGGCTGTAGGGCCAGTGAAATGTCACTGAGCCCTAGCCAAATCATCCGGCAGTTGGATCACTGAATGTCGAACAGATCGTCGCTCCCTGCCAAGGTCATGTACAACCAACGCGCATTAGTTAATGGTATGCCATGGACTGGCCCATGCGGCAGTGGTCTTACTTTCGCTTGTATCTACTTTAACTAATATATTTCTGTAATAACGTCCTTTGTGTTGTACAGTCTTCAAAACATCTATAGTGCCTTGTTACGTCAATGGGGGTAGTCCACGTAAGGTGCTGACCACGAGGTGTGACTTCGACGTTAGTTGGTTCGTCACACTATTCACGTCTAACTCGAGTAGGCCTCCAATCATTTCGACATAGATCATCTACGTTGGTGATCTACAAGGCTTTCACAAATTCGGAAAAGTCCTAAAGCATGTAAATTTAGGTTTTTGGTTCTGATGGGTTTCCAGAGTGAAATAAGTGTGGGGAGTATCACAAAGATTTCTGTTCTATTTATAAAAAACTTAAAAGAAAAATATTTGCTGTAAATACCACTGAAAAAAAGATTTCTGAGAAAATAAATAAAACGGAATTCCTCTGGTTGGCATATACTCCATTAAATCTAAGGGACTCGAACGATGGATCAGCTCTGCTCATCCATAGAAAATATAATTCACTCAGTGAAGTTGAGACTATATACATTTTACTTACTTTTATCCCAAGGAAGCCATTTAAGACGGGATTTGGTTACATACAAAAATATGTTCCGATCTTATCTCTGCCTAAATTTTTGGGTATCATTACTTGGCTGTTCGCAAATAAGCAGACAATATATCATTATTCAGATGCTCAGTTAAAAGCCTCAGCATTTAGACTGTGAAAGACCGAAAAAGAAAAGACTAAGAAAACTGGAACAATCGTAGTTTGGTAGGACATTAGATTCAGAAATACAGTCCCATATTTGTGAAGTTATTTACGACCGTCAATAAGACAAGTTTTTTTCGAAGAGAAGCTGCGCGAAACAGGCTTTAAAATTTTAAACAAGAAACAACCCACTGAGTAAATCTTTTGTGAAAGGGAAAAACATCTCCAAAAGTTTACGTATTACGAAACCTACTGGAAAGTTGATGGTTCTCCTCAGAAATATATCTCGAGTTTTAAGTGTACGCATTCCCTTTCTGTCAACTTCACCAAAAAACTCTTGTGCATCACGTGAATAGAAGGCCAGTGATTTAACTATTGCAGAATTACCAGGGTCTTCACAAAGCTGTATGTTAATTTTACAACCTGTTATGTTACCTTAGTACTTAGTTACTAACCATTGAGCATATCATATGGCTTCACATTACGACGTTCAGACGAAAATACTGCTCTGAAATCGAAAGCTTCATCCATAAGTAACGGAAAACACGGTAATAACGATTTAGTCCTTTTCGAGGTATTGAAAAGCTCAATCAACAAATAAAATTGATTATCGCTTGATAAGCGTGTTCCGGGAGCGCATATCTATAAAGTTAACTTAAGATTTTCACTTTAAGCTTTACATAATGAACAATAAACTGAATGTCACACAGGTAGATTCTACATGGCATTTTTAAAAACGTCATGTACGTGTTCCTATATCTACCAAGGTTTTTCAAGGTTATACAGGTTCCAATTTCAGTTTCACTTTGGAAAGGACAGGAAGCTTGATGGCCTGTATTAGTCCTGACAATGATGGTCTATCAGTTGATTCAACTTTCTTTTGAAAGAGTCGACGTATGGAGCCTGAATCACGTGGTGACGTAATGAATTTCGTTCGTTGATGATTCGATGGAAAAGTCGATAGTCAGCTGACAAGTAATTTGTTCTGGGCTTGTTAACGTCTTTGGAGAGTTCTTGGGAATTTTCTGTTTTGAAAGACATGAAAAATGAGGGCGTATCGGGTTCAAATCTATCACTAAGCGATTTGAGAACTGTAATCAATTCACCTCTAGTTCTTCGATATGACAACGGATTAGGTTTACATTAGCCAGTCAAGCATCATATGGGAGCTTCGCTAATCCGGGAATGAGCTTAGTTGCCGTTCTCTAAACATTTATTAAAGGCTCACAGCCTTTTTTAAGCAGGAGCGAGCCGCTTGTATGCAATATACAATTTGTCAATAATTAACTAGCAATAATCTATCGGTTTTCGTTCATGTTTCCTTATTTCAGAAGTTGTTTCGAGCATTTACTAGTTTCCAACAATACAAATGCCGTGGCTTAACTAAATCACACGAAGTGCTCGCTATGCCCCAAAAGAACAGTGGTATTTTCCATAGTTCAGTTAATTTTATGGTTTTATTAGTTGATTACTCATCGAAAGTGCTGCTCTCAGCTAAAACAATAACAAGAGTATTGTTTTTTCAATAGTAATCTACCATCTGTACTTTTTTAGTACGCTGGTTTTTTTAATTTTTTCACTTTTGGATTTGACAATTTACGGTGTTTCCCCCTCTTTAAGTTACCATATCTTGTTTCTGACTGTCTTTATGTCTCCTTCTTTTGAAAACCCTTGAGAGAGAGCTGGACAGTGAAAAAAGCAATTGTCAACACCAAGGGTTTCGACACCCGGTTCTGAGTAATCGAGAATAACATCAATAGTGTGTCCGAAAAAGTCTACAGAGTCGACGTCGACTTGATATTTGTGAGCGTTTACAGTGATGCCGTGTATGTCAGGTCCTTCAAAAGTAAGGTTGGATTAGTTTTTAGTCATTCGGAGCTTGTAGGGAGCTAGTCGGTGTGTCGTTGACAATACAGTCGGTCCTGTAATCATGGAGTGATGTGCATCATTGTCGACCACACATGGAAGTTTCATTCGCGTTCGGTATAGTTCAGGCTACCTATCGAGTATTTGTTGATAGTATGAATCGTTCATGTGCCTTACTGTTAGTGGAGGCAATCTGTAACTGGGAAAAGAAGTTATGCAAAAACATAATTTCGGATTTCAATAAAACAACCTCCGTTTGCATGTGTCACTATGTAGATTGTGGCATGGAAACCTCTGCAACGACGAAGATCCAGTGAAAGGGTTTGCATAAACTCACGTTAAAATAAACGTATCGCTTACCATATGAGGAGACCAGTTTCCTGTTTTCTACCTGTAAGTTTAGAACTGCTTTGTGCAGTCGATCATTGGAATTTGTTGGAAGAACGTCGACTTCTGCGCCAGTGTTGACGAGGTAGCGAACTTTCGTAATCACATCAGTGACATACAACAGATGTCTACATTTGCCGGCTATGATTGCCGTTAACACGTGCCGGCCGGGAAGTTTCCCGGAACTTTTTTCGTGTCGGTCGGTTTGGAGCTCAGAAAATTTCTGGAAGACTTTCCAAACTGAATATGATACCAGCACCAGTCGAAATTATCCATTTCTCGTGGTCCGAAGACAGATAGTTTACGTGAAGTGCTTTTTAGCGGGGTGTGTGACCGTTTACGGTCGTTACGAAATTGAAGATAACATGTAAGTGTATGACATAATTCCGTGATGTCATTCTGGGTTGTATGAGGTCTTCTTTTGACTGAAAAGACCTCAGCATTAGATTTCATGATTTCTAAGATGCAGTCAGCAGATGCAGCCAGATCATCTACGGCGTTGTTTTGAAACGGCTCAACTATTTTGTTTTCAGTGAATCTATCCACTCCTTACTACATTTACTGAGATGTAATAGCATGTTTGGGATTGTTTATAATATTTAATGACTCAACATTTCCTACCTGAGCATAAGAATAAGTATGTGTCACAGACATGAGCAACTATCTGCCCATCGACGTTCAACAATGAAGTTCTGGACTGATTTATCAAAACAGTCTCCATTTGTCGATAAGACGTTGTGTTCGAAGCATTCACAAATCCTTTAATCTAAGTGTTGATAGTCTACTCACGGTGACCGAAATTTCGGTTCATTAGTGAAGGGCTTTCACTTTTATTCGGAGGGTCGTCACGTTTAAGGAAGCGTAGTTTTTGTTCGGCGAAAGTAAAAATTGGACAGTTTTGCCGTTTTAAAGAGGAAATTATCGTCTAGCGAATTTCGGAGTTTTTTGAAACCTTAGGTTTGATACTGCCCTTGTTAGTCACGAAGTAATACAATATGCTGCTGGTCACACATGGTCGTTTCCGATAGTTAAATAAATCATTCAATGATTTAAATAAAAAAATCGAGTCGTGTAAAGCAAATACGCCTGCTGCTGTTCTTAAGCCCAAATGAAGCATGATTTATTAATTTACATGTACTTGCTAAAGCAAATACATTGAAAGAACAGAAGAAAGAATACATATTTGCATTTTCATGCATGTTTCAAAGACAGTCACAACAGCTCTAAGCAGTGCAACAGCTCTGGATTTAATTGGCACAGAACGTAAGTTCAGCATTCCATGTGCCTTCAAAACTATTAATAGACCGACCAGAAACGACAAACAGTTTGATTTTGATTTTCCTGTTCAGAAAGAGACGAAAATCAAATAATCGCTACCTTGGTAAATTACTTTTTGTCATTATCATCGTTATTATGATTATTTTGTTTGTGTTCATTTTGTTATTATTATTATTATTCACAAACATCTTATGGGTACATAAGTGTTGTGAAGAAACCATTTCCGGTTTCTTCAAAAAATGCAATAATACACAACTATAATCTACAGCAAACTGATTCTGATTTTTTGTACATCAAAATCCTCACTTTATTCATAGATTGTCATTTACATTGTTCTCCGAACTTATGCAAACTCTTTATGTCCTGTTCACACATTATGTAGCCCGTCTAATCGAATTCTAATCCCAGTAATCTTATGTAAACCTTTCATAATCCCTAAAATTATTACACAAGCTACCTTATCTGTTTCTGGGTATTATTTGATTACCCATTCAGACGTGTTTGTCAAATCCTTTTTATTATCATCACAAACTGTCACAGATCTTGAAGCTGAAAGTCAGTCTTCGAATAATATGTTATAGTTCCCACAGCCAATTGTTGAGGTCGGAAACCAACGAAGGATTAAAAATGGTTCAAATTTGTTAACGACATTGGTCAAACGCGACGGTTTGTATAGAACAGCGGTAGTTTTCAGCATTTATGGGTTATGCGGATTTCCAAACTTGTGATAATGTCAATAGAGTTGGACTAGAGGATGGTTCAGTGACATTCATTAGTTCAAGTTTATCAAAAAGCGATAGCGAATAATAACGTTTTTGCCGTAATCAAATAAATAAAAAACGAAATAAACGAAATATAACTGAACTATCCTTTATACAGCAAGTAAGGACATCAGTTATGGAAACACTAAGTGAAAATCGGCTGTAAAACGCTTAGCGATCGTAATCGTTAAAAGTATTTACTAATTTCCCAAAAAAACACCAAGAAGGTTCCGAATTAGCAATTAAAATTATTCTTCTAGAAGAAAAATCACTGACAATTTTAATTTAGGCTAATAGAAGTAATGTTACACGTAAAAATGTAACCAACGAAGTGCTACGGCAAAGAATGTATGGATGGATGGTTTTCATAAGTGTCAACACGTCCACAGCAAAATGGTTTTGTCAGGGTTAGTGAAATGCTTACATGTAATAGATGATCCCCTCGATAGCTGCGATCATAGTTCATCTTGATGAGTCTAAGAAACTGGTTTAACGCACAACCAGATGTCCACCCTTTCTATTTATGGTGACATATCGAAGGTTAGTCAGACTCGTTATGGAGACATACCGTGAGGAGGAAGGCGATATATATATATATATATATACATTGCCGTGATTTATTATGGTCACTAACATTTTTTGACTGGTTTTTGATTTATTCGTTGTGTCCAAGCTTTGGATTAGGTTTGTTTGTAATTTTGACGATGAATTTCGGGTCTTCACCTTACATTTTGTATTTTCACTCTGGAAGCCTAAATACTGTGGGTTTGTTGTGAACTTATTTATCATTTGTTTATCTATTACTTCTTAACAAACAGATAAAATTTAGCTATTCGGATCTTAAGATTCCTGTAACCATGTTGTTTAATTGGAAGTTTCAAAGGGATTCAAATGACCGTGATTTATAAAATGTGAAAGTTGGAATTTTGGATACAACACAAAGTTATTCTATCTTGTGACTTATTGAGTAGACATGCTAAGGGCTGGCACTTCAAAGCATACCACGTTGAACTCATCAGCAGCGTATCACAAAGCTGAAAACATGTTTTCAACCTCACTTATTCTTCTCTACTCTACCAAGCAAACATTTTATGTATTAACTTAGGTTCTTACGCTATGATCAAAGAGTAAGCAATCGATAAAGACGGAATGGTATAAAGAATGATAAAACTATAATAATAATTGCTTTTATTACTAATACTTACGAAAGGCTCATTAGTACATAAATGCGATGAAACC